AAGCCTCCTACTCTGCCCTGAATATTCCTCTCACCACCTACTGCCAGCGAACCCCTGCCCATCTGGGAAAAAATTCCCATTACTCTTGCCACCACCAACATGGAAATCCAGGCAACAAGATCAGCCTTCTTTTCTCAGTAAGCATTGGGGGATGGTCTAAAACCTCAAAGCTCAAAATCCAAATGTAATACTACTGAAGAAACTGTTATCTATGATCTAATCACACAGATATTTTTGCTCCTGCATGTACCAGTATTGGTTCAGAGTTGCAACCTTAGTGATGTACAGTTTCACATCCTGCATTTTTCAACATTGGCTCTCTTGTATGACAGTTGTTTTAGAAGACTGCCAGGTGGCGCACTCATTGAGGCAGGTGTGACACTGGCTCACTGCAACCTCCCAGCATGCTTAGCAGTTGGTATGTTTAATGAATGAGAATGAATCATGTTCCTTCAAGATCATGTACCTTAATTTACTCACCATTACTCTACTGATAAACATTCAACTTGTTTCCAGTATTTAACAAATACACACTTTACATCACTTGCATCCGCGTTATTTTCCTCTTATTCAATTATTTCTATTTAGATGAGCTCCTTCCCATGGGGAATAACTGGGTCAAAGGGCATGGGGACTTTTTAGCTCTTGGTGCATACATGTGAAATTAGTTTATCATAATGCTTTTCTTTTGCACTTTTTACATACAATATGTAAGTGCAGGTCTGGAGCTATTCCAAAGGCAACGTGATCATGTCTCTGCTCCCAGTGATTACCACTTAAATGAAGAGAGAAGTGAGTAAATAGGAGATGTGATTGAAAAATATGGTGAATGTTAATTTTTAAAAAATGTATTTTCTGTGTATCTTCCAAGGAGAATTAAAAACATAATATAACAGTGATATATATGCACCCATGTTTATAGCAGCACAATTTAATAGCTAGGTCTTAGAAACAACCCAAATGCCAATCAATGGAGGAATGGATAAAAAAGATGCAGTCTATACAATGGAGTATTACTCCGCCATAAACAAGGATAACCTGGAGACTTCTATAGGTAAATGGACGCAACTCCAGATCATACTCATAAGTGAAATAAACCAGACTCACATTTGTAAACATTGTGTTATCTCCATAGTGTGAAAAGCTGAAAGAGTAAACAAGATCCAAAATCACAATAGATATTGTGAAATAGGAAAGAACTATTCAAAAGGAAGGAAAAGCTGGAATGGAGGAAGGGAGAAAAGAAGGAAGGGAAAAGCCAATATATATAATAGTTAAATACAATTAACTCTTTGAATTCATTAAAAAGAAATGTTTGCCTATATCTTGTACTCTGAGTAACTGATTTAAAGATGACAATATCCAACATATTTACCATTGTTACTCTCATATTATCTTGTTTTAAAATTTTATTTTTTCTCTTTAAAATAATTTTTTTTAGAGCTGGCCAGATAGCTCAGCAGATTAAAGCACATGCTTAGGCAGGTTCAGGGATGGGGTTCTATTCCCAGCATGCTGTGCCAGCCTCCCCTCCCCCAGCATGCTGAAATGGTGATTGAGACTGGGCATGGTGGCATGTGCCTATAATCCCAGCGCTTGGGAGGCTGAAAACAGGAGGATCTTTACGAGTCTGATCTGCGTAGTGAGACCCTGTAGACCCTGTACTAAATATATTTTAAAAAAAGTATTATAGTAAAGACACATTGCTATAATCCTGTTCAAAATACTCTCTTACTTTAAACATATTTAGCCCATCATCCTTGCTATTTTTTTTTAAATTATTCTTTTTGGCACAGGGTCTCACTACATAGCTCAGACTCATAATGATCCTCCTGTCTCAGCCTTCCCAACACTGTGATTACAGGCCTGCACCAATATGCCTGGTTTCAGGGAGAACAGGGCACGCCTGGGGTTCCTGATCCCACATGGCATGTGGCATGCAGTACCAGGGATTGAACTTGGGACCCTGTGGTTGCCAGGCAGGTACTGGAGTGCCGAGCTATCTCTCTAGCCCCATTCTCACTACTTCTGAAGCAGTTCTGGACGTTCTCTTTTGTGGGTGTCTTTAGTTGTGCAATTGTGGCTGTTCTGTTAAATTGATTCAAAATGTTTACCTCTATCTATCGTGGTCATCTGGACTTCGGGGACAAGCCAGAGTCATATGGTGCCAGGTCTTGTGAAGGACACACTGTAATGGCTTTAGAGTCTCGTTTCCATTGGATGACACGGCAGCAGAATTCACCACATTTTTGTTCACCACTCATAAAAACACTCAAAAATGTGAACTTCCAGAACTGCCTCAGAGGGCAGTAAGAATGATAGAATAAGTGAGGGAGAGTGTACTGGGTGGGATTCATGGCACTGTGTCTTTGTAATACTTTTTGAATTTAAATGTTCGCCATATATTTTGATCATACCACATAAGTGCGGTTCGCATTATATGGTAGCATGGGGGAAGTGAACACTGGCTTGAGTTTTTGAGATTAGGGGTTTTACAGCAGAGGATGTTATCCAGGCTGAGGAAATTTCATGTTTAACAAAGTGTCCAAGAACAATTGTCACGCAGATATTGAAAGACACTGGGAGCAGAATTGGGGGAGGGATCTTGTGGCTGTTAGCAGTGGAGTGGCTCAGATAGTCAGAGGAGGGAGGGTGGGGCTCCCCTTGGTGGTCACTGGTTGCTCCATGATGGCCTGATCCTACTTCCAACTGTTGAGTGGAGACTTCGGATTAATTTTTAATCTATTTTCAGAATCCCCAGAGAAAGGGAATAATTAGTTTGTCTTGAGAAATAAAAGAAGGGAAACCATCACCTTCCTTTCCAGAAGAACACGAAGCGGGCCTCTTGTGACTTCTCCACTCTCTCATTCACCTTACTAAATAGGAAAAACCCAAACAGCGAGGATGTTGGTGCCTAAATAAAAAAGCACATTTAAAAAGGAGAGTTGCCACTCTGTGGACAGCAGGGTTATCCTGAATCCTGCCTCTGAGCGCCAAGGCTCTCCTCCAAGCAGAAGAGAACCAAGGACTACAGAGGCCAGAGGTGCACGATGAGGCCAACATATTCATTATGTGGTCTTGAGCAAGGTTTTTAACACCTCTTTGGCTCAGTTTCCCATAATAAAATAGGGATGAATTAGTGCCACTTCCTAGGCATATGAGGATTTAGTAGAGTACCTCCACCATGCTCAAGGTGGCCAAGCAAGTGCCAGTAAGTGGTGGTGACTATGTCTATCCTTTTTCTCTTCCACTTTTCCCAGAAGGAAACTCATACTACCTTGTCTTTACTTTGTGCACAGGGACAATTGCATCCAAACACAAAGTTCACAGTGGAGGAAAAATGACAGTGAGGGTGGGAGCCTGACTCAAGACCCCACAGTGAATCACTGGAAAAAGCAGGTGTGTGATTTTCCCTGCACCACCTCCTTCCTCACCTTGATAAGCCATTCTGGCTTCTAGGAGCTAAGAGCACAGTGGCTGGCAGGGAAGCCCTGGAAAGAAGGGCCACAGCAGATGGCTAGCAGCTACCCTTCTGTGGAAGGTGTGGCCAGTGTGGTGCAGCCTTTGGCAGTGGACCTTCTGCAACTTTGGCATCACTCATGACACACAGTGTCAATAGATGGAGAGTTACTGATACAGGAACCCCAGAAGTCATGGCCATTGCAACCTCAGTTGGACAGAGCAAATGTCTGGGATGGCTACATCTAGGGGCTTCCAGGGGCTTAGGTAAAGCACTGTATCCCTTCCAC